CTTCTTCAATTCTTTCAACACCTTGTCCCTCTCCTCAAAGTCTACTTCAACTGAAGAAACTGGTGTGTGACTCTGCCTAAAATTCACCAGGTTAGGTGGATCTCTCCCATGCAACACCTTGAATGGGGTCCATCTGAGAAGCAGAATGATATGAAGTGTTGTATCAATACTCTACCCATGCTAACCACTTGGCCCAAAGCCAAGGGGTTTTCGACACATCATCGTAGGTATGTCTTCAAGCTTTTGTTTACCACCTCCGTCTACCCATCGGCCTTTGGGTGATAGACGGTGCTCCTCTTTAGTACTGTCCCTTGCAGTCTGAATAACTCTCTCAAAAAATTGTTGAGGAATACCTTATCCCTTTTGGATACTATAACCTCTGGCATCCCGTGCAGTTTGATCATCTCCTGATGAACACTAGTGCAACTGTCACTATCGTGTATGGGTGTCGTAGGGGAAAGAAATGAACATACTTGCTCAACCTGTCTACTAACACTAGAATCATGGTGAATCCTTCAAATTGAGGTAACCCGTCTATGAAATCCATGGAGACCCTCCTTCCACACCTGATCTTGTAGAGCTAAGGGCTGCAATAATCCTCCTGGAGCCATGACCATGTACTTATTATTCTGACAAACTTCATAGTTGGCGACCAACTTCTCTATATCCTTTTGCATCCCTTTCCAATACAACTTTGAGGCGAGTCTCCTGTATGTCTTTTGCACCCTTAAATGTCCCCGATAGCACTCCCATGGAACTCCTGGAGCAGGTGTGGAATATGAACTAAAGTCCTATGCATCACAAATCACCCCTGGTACAAAAGCCTCTCCCCTTCTAGAGAATAGCCAAGGTGGTTACTCCCATCCTTCAATAAATTTACCCTAATCCTCCTCAGCTCCTCGTCCTGGGCACTCTCCTTCTTAACGGCCCACCAATCCAATATCGAAGGTATCGACACGATCACCTTCTGGAGTTCCTCGATACATCTGGACAAGGAATCTGCCACCTTGTTCTTTATCCCCAACATGTACTGGATTTCAAAGTCATATCCCAATAACTTTGACAGCAATTTCTGGTGCTCTGTCATAATCCTCTGCTCCAACAGGTACTTCAGACTCCGCTGATCCATCCTGCCAATGAAATATCGACCCAACAAATAAGGCCACCACTTTTGGATGACTAAAATAATCGCTATAAACTCCCTTTCATAGACTGAATTTAACCTGGTTCTAGCTGTCAACACCTGGCTGAAGTAAGTAATGGGTATGTGGCACTTCATAAGTACTGCTCTCAAGCTATACCCTAATGCTTCCGTCTCTACTACAAATACCTAGCTGAAATCTGGCAGGGTCAAGACTAGTACAGTTGTCATGGAATTCTTCAATCTCTCAAAAAATGTTGCGGCCGCTTCCCCCCACAAGAAACCATCCTTTAACTATTATGTCAGTGACCATATGATGGTACTATAACCCTTCACAAACCTCCTATAGTAGTCAGTCAGTCCTAGGAATCCCCTCAGTTTCCTGAGATTCTTAGGCAACGACCATCTCAACATAGTCTCAATTTTGGCCTGATCCACAACTACACTTTCCTGAGAGATTACATGTCCCAAGTATACCACACTGACATGGGCAAAACAACATTTCTTCAGATTGGCCCTCAGCTGATGCTCCCATAACATCTCTAAAACTTTTCTCAAGTGCTCCCAATGCTTCTCATCTGACCTGCTCTAAATTTGAATATCATAAAAAAAAATACCAGCATAAATCGCTTGAGATAGGGTCAGAAAGTCTTGTTCATGACAGACTGGAAAGTGGCTGGGGCATTAGTGAGGCAAAAAGGCATCACTAGGAGCTCATAATGCCCCTTATGAGTTTTGAAAGCAACCTTCGACACATTCTCGCTTTTCATTCTGATCTGATGGTACCCTGACTTCAGATCTATCTTGGTGAAGATAACTGCCCCACGCAGCTCATCCAACAACTCATCTATCACTGGGATAAGAAATTTATCTGACATATTTTTCTTATTCACCGCCTTATAGTCCATGTAGAACCTCCAACTCTCATATTTTTTCTTAACCAGTAACATTGGGCCAAAAAAAGGACTCACGTTGGGCCTAATAATCCCTTATTCCAGCATTTCTCTGATCAACTTCTCAATTTCATCTTTCTGAAATTAAGGATAATAGTAGGGCTTGACATTGATGGGTGACCCACATTTCCTTAAGGTGATAGCGTGCACCCTAAGGTGGCTAAAAAATATCACTGAACTCTTGAATCAATGGTTGTACTAAAAGAGGAATGTCCCCACCTTCCTCCAATCTGATCCCCTCCAGTCTCTGTAGCTCTACTAGATAATCTTTCCACATCTCTTGTATGCTCATCACAATGATTTTACATGATACCATGGCTTTGGAGAGCCCTGCATATCCCTGATCACTATCCTTCTCCTTTCTCCCTTCCACCACCAGCTCCATCGTCAATGCTCCCTAGTTGACCTTGGTATTCCCCAAGGTCTGCAGTCACTTCATTTTCAGAATGATATCAGTGCTCCCTAACTCCAATGGCAGAAAATCTTCCATCACCTAAACCTCCTATATGTTCAACACTACTCCCCGACAGATCCCCTAGCCCGTTACCACCTTTCATGTACCCATCATCTCTCCATAACACCATGTATTTACCAATGTCACCCTCAATTAGTCCATGACCTTGGAAATGAAATTGTGGGTACCCTCTCTGTCAATCAACACCACCACCTCCCTATTTGCTATTTCCCCCATCACTTTCATGGTATGACTCTGAGTGAATCCTACCACTGAGTTCAAAGAGACCTCTGTCATGTCAAGATGCAGCTTGTCTTCATCCTTTCCCCTTGTTTCACTCTCACCCCCTCCTTAGTTTTCTTGTCATCATAGACGGTGAGAACCTGAAGAGTTTGGTCCCTGCACCTGTGCTCTGGAGTATACTTCTCATCATATTTGAAGCATAGTATCTTCAGCCTCTTCTCTTGCATCTACCTCTCCGTCAGTCTTTTGAAGTTCGTCCAGTTCCTCCTACTATTTCACAAAAAATAGCCTAAAAACAGTTCAAAAAATTGCTCTGATACCAATTTGATAGGAAACACTTGAAGATCTCAAGTGAAAAGCTATCAATCTTGGAAAAACAACGTAGAATATCCACAAAACTCCGAGGAAAAACCATTAAACAACAATTTTATTGCAATACTCAAAGATAACGGAAGGAAAATACAAGATATAGTTGATCCTTAATTCAGAGGAGGATCTTTCTCTCTCAATACCTAAACGCTGCTAAAGCCCAAGACGCCAAGCACCAAGAACAACAAAATCAGTCACAATTATCAGATGCCCTAACCCTAATGCAAACTCCTACTTTAAGCAAATAAAAAAATAACATAAAAGACTAAACATCCCTCAAACAATTAGCCCTAAGTATTAGACCCTACCCCAAAGGGGGTGAGATTGGGGGCCTGTGGACCAATGGGATTGGGAGCCTGTGGACCACCAGGCTTGCGCCTACTGTATTACAGGAGTCGGCCCACAACTTGGGCCGACTGAACCGGTCCATTGTGGACTGGTCCAAATGTATCAGAATGTTGTGAGCTTAAGAGCCAAATCGCAGGAATACAATTAATGAACTTTAATTACTCAGTTGACACCGAAAATATTTGAATCAAATATTTTGAGCTCCAATGTACTTTTCTTGATATTGAGCTTGCATGTTTCTCAAACCAAGTAGTTCTTCACTTTGCATCATCTAGTTTTTAAAACAATTCTAATCTAATGATCTGGAAAACACTTATGAAACACACTAGCAACATTTAGTCATATTTGCTATGATCAAAATCAAATTGAAACTTAAGAGGCACATGGATTGACTTCAATTCAAGCCATGAGCGGATCCGATTCCGAGCATTTTTTGATCTTAGAGTCAAATTCACAACACTAATTTGTGTTTGAGTTTAGGGGAATGATCCATGGGAAAATGTTTTTTTTTTTGTAGCATTTTCTTCATGTCACCCAAACTGATTAAAACCTTTAGTTTAACAGCGGTGCCAGCTGAACATATCCTAAATGATTGATCCGAATTGGTTTTGACCAATTTCTAGAACCATGCTCCAGCTTCTCTGTCATCTGTGAAGCTAAGTCTGCCAAACTCTTATTATATAATGTTAGTTCACCACGGAGACGGAAGGTAAACTTATGCCATTTTAGAGTGGTAGATTGGTGAACGGCTAGGATTTTCTATTTTCATGGATCATCACTTAACCTGCCTCATGATATATCACTGTAGAAAGTCAGAAGGAAAGATCACGTTCTTCCAACACTGTTGCACGCTTTCATGATATCTAAGGGTAACTACCTTGGTTTTTGCTTCTTCTTCTTTAAGTTTGTTATTTGTTGGGAATCAAAATTAGCTGAATCAGACCAAAAATATTGGTTATTTACTCCATGTTACTCCTGTTGTTTACCTACTGCAAGTTTTGCTTATTTACTGTAATGCATGGAGTATTGAACAATTATGCCATGCCAAGCATGGCACAACCTAGTACCTGCTCTTAATTGACGCTTCCAAAACTTTTGGAACGTTAAACTATAGCATTCTCTCAGACTATTGTGGTTTGGATGTTGTCTTCCATTTACGTTCTACAACATATGATATCAATGAAGGTGCGAAAGGCTTCGTTTGAGACGGTTTTCTTTCTGCTTCTTAAAGCAGCTTTATAGTATAAAAATACGGCTTTCTTACTGCTTCTTAAAGCAGCTTTATAGTATAAAAATTTAATTTGTATACTATAAAGCTGCTTTAAGAAGCAGTAAAAAAGCCGTCTCAAATGAAGCCTAAATGACATTATAATGTTATCTATCTAGTAGTGGTAACTTGTTCTAAATATATGGTGGGGATTAGTCAATTTGATCAATTACTTTTGTTATTCTAGAAGCCGCACTAATTGTTTTAAATGAAACTGTGCCACAGGTCTGCATACATTTTGAAGCAAGAAAGCTTGCTTCCATCTTATAAAGCATTTCTTAATAGGCATGGTGGAAAGGCTGCTGTTATTTTACAAAGGGTCAAAGAAATCGCAACTGGCACGCCCTTCACAAACTTGGATGAAGTTGAGAAGCACTACAAGTACATGGGCGTAGATCTAAAGCTAGATCCAAGCATGAAAGTGCCATGTTCAGTACGTGCTCCTCACATTTTTCCCCCTTAAGAGATAGTTTTGCAAAAGTACTCTGATTTCTTGAAGTTAGTGGTTTCGATTTGTGATTTGATCAGATAGATGCTAATATTAGTCAAACTTCTACTGTGATAAACATAGTATAAAGCATGCAACATGCGAAGGGACGACGTGTATTTTAAATTCAAAACAAGGGTATTTGCATTTACTGCAATTTAGTTTGCTGGAAGTTGTTGAGGATTAGATAAAACTTTTATGATTGAAATTCCTTTCAACTGAGTTTGAAGAAGCATTAGAAATTGCTACCTAATAATGTAATAGTCACTCTCACTCTCAGTAGGAGTTTTGTCATCGAGCCTGAATCTTCTTTTTGATCTTCCGAATTATGGGTTTGAATCTTATGTGGGAAGGATAAAACCCTGTTTTGCTCTGAATCATAAACTGTTATTTATTATTTTTTGGTCATATTCCTTCATTATATTCCTTAGAATGGCATTTAAAATTTACAGTATTTGAATTATTATTATTATTTAATTAGATTTTTTGCTTTATTTATTCTAGTAGATCATTAAAATTTTTTTATAGAGGTGAATGCAACATTTGAAATAGAATGATCAAGTATATATGTCAAATTTGTATATATTTTTGGATTATAATCATAAAAATTTTCAAAAAGCATTTTCTGAGTTATAATCTAGATATAGTTTTGTTATAAGCTCATAACTAAATGCAAGCTTCAAGTGCCAATATTTTTATACACTAAATATTTTAGTAAATTGTGTAAGGACCTATACATAACTTTTATCTTACTATCTTTTGGGGGGTGAAATATAGATGAAAATTTTAAGTGTATCTCAAATAAATTTTATGGATTTTCTCAATGGTAGAAAACAAATCTTACATTCTTGTTTGAAATTATGATGGATGATTACTATGTAGTCTGTAAAATTTTTTTTAAGAAAAAATTAGCTAGATGAGAGGCATCATCAATTTTTAAATCAGGCATGAAGTATGTCATCTTGAGGAATATATCAACAACCAAAAAGATACTATCATCTCTTTGTGGGCTTTTGGGCAAGCTCAAAATAAAATCCATTGAGTGGCCTTACCAAGATTGGTAGAGGATATGGGTGTCAATTTTGGGTCACGGGTCGGGTTTAGGTCGAACCCGGAACTGACTTGGCACTATTCCGGTCAACCCGAACCCGACCCGCTTGTAAAAATTGGTCGGTTTTTGGGGCCTGGATCCGACCCGCTTCGGGTTCGGGTCAAACTGACCCGACACGGATTTTCTGATTCAACATGAAGGAACATCGTCGAGATCCCGTCACTACTTCTAGTTCCGGTCAATGTTTAAAATTGCGTATTCGGGTATTGAGGCGTTTTTCATTCGTGAGGCGAGGCGTAAGCCTCAAGGCGTTTTGAGGCGTAAGCCTCAGAATCAAAATATTGCGTAAACATAAAATGATAAATTTTTATATACTAATGAGTGAATAATATAAAACATTAAAAAAACATAAAATATGAAGTGAAATCAAAATATCCCAATAATAAGACAACATGAAATATAGTTCAACTCAAAATTCTATTTTTTCCAAATCCCAGTATTCTTTTCATTAACATATAATTCCAATTTCCAAAAATAAATAGCAATGACATATCACATAAGAACTCATAAGTCATCAGCACTGTCATCACTAAGGGGTTCTTCATTTGAATTATCATTATGATGAACTGCTCTCTTCCCTTCCTCCTCTCCTATAGAGTTCAATGACAGGCATTTACTTCAAGATTTATGTACATTTTAATATATATATCGTGAGGCATAAGCCTTATGCTAGTGAGGCGAGGCGGGCCTCAACCAAGTTGAGGCGCAAGCCTCATAAAAAAAAAACTCGAGTAAGCATCAAGGCGTTTTTTACTGGAATTGCGCAAAGGCGGGCCTCAAGGCGAGCCTCATATTGCGCAATTTTAAACCATGGTTCCGGTGAGGCGGCGCTGCGGCGAGCTGGCTGCCTATCCCGACTTCCAAATTTATAGGAAAGAACATCGTCGGAGGAGTCGCTAAAGGAGGAAGAACTGGCGTGATCGTGTGAGCGGCGGCACAACGGCGGCGGGCGGCCACGCCGCGGCTGGGCAGCAGCAGCAGCGATCCAACAACGGGTCATTTCGCGGCCGGACCGCGTGACTGACCGTGAGTCCGTGACGCCTGACGAAGTGACGGAACGTCTTGACGCGTCGCAGGCTCGCAGCGTCGGGTCATTTCGCGGACAGGGAGGGCACGCTGGGCAGCACATACGGGCAGAGCAATTTCCGAGTCAATTCCGGGTTTTCGTGTCAACCCGACCCGAAACTCAAATCGGGTCAGATTTTTGAACCCTAATCCGACCCGTTTGCTATCCGGGTCGACCTGAACCCGGATTTTTCCAGGTCGGGTTCGGGTTGTGTCAAAATTTGACACCCCTGGTAGAGGACAGGGAGGACAATGTACTTGCTAGCTCTTTACTTAGTTGTTTTAACTATTTTACAAACAATGGCAACCGATGTGTTCAATTTCTCTTTTTAGGAAAGGCTAAAAAAACTTAGATTCTACTAGATTAATGGTTTTATCTTTTCCAAAGCACCCCATATACTTCTAGAGTATACCTCAATAATTAGGAAATCTCAAAGAAGTGATATATGAATGCAAAGTCTATTTTCACAATAAAGATAAGAATGAAAAATGAAGAAGTGGGTAGCCATAGCAAGGGCGCTATCGAGGTGTTCAAGATAATGGGGGTGGAAATTAAGGCATATAATATAATCATCTCTTATTTTAGATAAGTTATGAATCTATTATTCTGAGGAGATAAGCAAGATAACTTGGCATAGGGCAATAGATTTGTTCTACGTATAAGGTTTGTGCTTTATAATTCCGAAGAAATTTCTCTCATTTAGCATTTTTATAATTAAGTTTTCTGTAGGTGTTCATGAATTTAACGGCATTGCGGTTAGAATGTAGAATGAATTCATTGTGCAACAAATAGTATCTACAATGTTTAAGGATTGTACAATGGAAAAACATTTCTTTCATAAGTAGAATAATGTTACTTAGTATTATTTAATTTTTCACTGAAGAAATCAACAGGGGTGATGACTTGATCAAGCGCTCCACTTATGTCTATCTTAGAGTCATCATAAGAGACTTCACAAGGTTTGGCAAAATCAGGTACCATAAGGATAGGTGAAGAGTCCATGTTGAATTTAATTTAATTAAAGGGATGTTTGATTGCCTGAAAAAAAAATATAGTGTAAAAGGAATACTTTGAACTTTACTTTTTTTTGTTTGGTTTGAAGTATAGTGAATGCAATGTAAAGTATAAAAATGTTGTGTTCTTATTTCACAAAATTTTATAAAATATTTTGCATCAATTTCTCAAATCCTGCATTCTCAAAAACTTAATGCACATACACCATTTTTCAGTTTGTTTAAAGAATTATTTCTGTTGTTCCCTTTTTTAGGAAAATTTGCTGTATGTCATAATACTGTAACTCTCAGAGCGAATTTACTAGCGGCTGTCCTACAACTTTTATTCAAAATGTGGCACTTTTATCCATGCAGATTATTCATGGTAATCAGACCTGCAGTGGGCACTTCTTTTCATTTCTTATCCAAGCTTACGGAAGAGCGTTGCCTGTTTATGCTCCAGTTTACTTGATTCCAGCATTAATTGTTCATCGCCAAGACCTTGTGAAAAGGTATTAAATTTTTTTTTGTTCAAATTAGCTTACCAACAGAGATTGTTCATATAATTGAAGCTAAATAGTTATGATGATAATCTTCTTTGCTGGGATTTGTACAGTTATGCTCTTATTTCACATAGAATATGTATATATCTTCCCTGCATTGTTCTCATGATGTAGTCTTTATTGCTAGGATTTGTGTAGTTATGTTCTAATGATATCTTCTGCATTTTTCTGAGTCGAGTTGAGATGATCATCCCTTTCTTGTCTTAGAAATTCAGCTATCTTAAGTTTTTTTTTTTTTTCTGATGAGTTTATATTGATTAAGACCAGAAAGAGAACAGCTATTACAAACATATACAGAAGAACTAACATAAATTACATTTAGGTTTCGTTTGGGATGACTTTTTACTGCTTCTTAAAGCAGCATTTTTGTACAAAAATTTTAATTTTGATACTAGAAAGATGTTTTAAGAAGCAGTAAGAAAGCTGTCCCAAACGAAACCTTAATGTGCATAGTTCAAGCAAAACCTTGAAGAAATGAATGACCTTAAATCAAAACGAAGTAATGACAGAGAAAAAATATTTGGTGTCAGGATATAAAGCAACGGGATATGGGTTGGGCTTCGATTATAGCATCTGCAGAGGCTTTTTGGCTCCATCTTGGCTGAGTGATCACTAGTAGTATCTGTATCAATGCCCAATTACAGTTGGGTTGAGCAAAAATCATCGTTGCCCATAACTCATAAGAATCATATAAGAAGGCAGTGTAGTAAACTGAAATCAGAGATATAGAAGACAACCTGATTGTAATAAAAACATCTGCAGGCCAGCCAAATTCATAAAAACCACACAGATGTGGAGTGAAGAAGTTAGAAATCTGACCTTTAGTCGATAAATGCTAAAGAAGTAGAAATCACAGCCCTTGCAAAATCCAACTACAGAAAAATGATATCAAATCAAGTCAACCAAAAGCAGCACAAAAATCAAACTAGCCAACAACAACATTAAGACTTAGTTTGGGACGGCTTTCTTATTGCTTCTTAAAGTAATTTTCTAGTACAAAAATTAAACATTTTGTACTGAAAAGCTGCTTTAAGAAGTAGTAAGAAAGCTGTCCCAAACTAAGTCTAAACCTTCCAATTATTTCGTAAACGTGAAACCTCAGGTGTCCTTTCTCTAAGTGGGTAAAGTTTTGGTACTTTGAGATCCCCCATGGCATGGCTTTTTCCCCATTTACTTTTTTTATTACATTTATTGCATGGATGAGGGTGGAACTATTAAAGGGCACCAAACTTGTGCTGCATTTTTTTCTGTTCTTTTCCTTGTCTCAAGCTGTATTGATCTTTCTTGTGACCTCCTGAATATTTGTCTGCTTTGCAGGCCTTATACAATCCTTGCAAAGAGTCTTCTAGGTACAACAAGATCTAGCCTGTTTCTCTCCATATACTGCTCATCAGCCTGGTTAGTTCTGTTACTTCATATTTGTTTAAGTTGTATTATACAAAAGCAGTACGCATATTATTCTCCTATTGCTGGAATAGAATCTGCAGTCTCCCATTTCCCATTGAAATCATTCTGGTACATTTTGGTTCATCGTATTGTTCTTCCTAAATTGGTTAGTTTGCTTAGTTTGTGCTTCATCACTTTGAAGGATTAATAAAAGCTGTAAATAAGTGCTTTTTTTATCATTCTGAGCCTTACTGTTAAACCAAAAATTTCTCTCTAGCTTTCCCATTGGTCTACATGACTATACTGCTATACAGTTACAGGTTTTGATTTGCATTGAAGCAGCACATTGACTTATATAGTTCAACTTTTATTCGAACTATTAAAGCTTGTTTGGCAAAGTGGCAGGGCAAGCCCGGGAAATAATTTGCTGGTGTTTTCAATGAACTAGCGAGAAAGCCATCGTGCTCTCCTGGCTATGCCCTCCATAAAAATGATGTAGTTTCAAGTTCAAATTTACATTCCAATTTGCTCATCATTTAAACCATAACGCATTAACCTTTCAGTTCATCTCATAGGGCTTGGACATGCTTGCTCTTCAGAATTTTTGAGAGATGCAACATTGCAATGGTTGCAATGGGGATGGTGAGAATGCTTTCTAATAAACCCCAGACTCCATAGATAATAATAGAAACTTAAAACTTTAATGGAAAAATGGCTTCTTTTGCAGTTCCCAACTGGTCTGGCCCTTGCGATCGAGAAGAAGAGCAGGAGGATGGAAATATCTCTGTATTGCCTTTCACGAGCAATCGAGAGCTTCTTCACCTGTGCATCAGATGCTGGCTTTCTCACCAGGGCTTCCAGATTAAAGCACGCAGATGTGGTCTTGTTCAGCTTGGCCACAGCTATCATCATGCATTGCTATGCCCAGGAGCGGGAGGTCTTCAGGTCCAAGTACGTAAATGTTCTTGATTGGCTGTTTGGATTGCCTCCCTCTTGCCAAGATGAGCCAGACAAAGGCAAAACCCAGTAATTATAATTCATCTATACAAGGGAAACCCATAAGGTTTACAATAAGAGATTAGTTAAAATGAAATATAGTTGAAAATTGTTCGGCAAAAGAGAGGCTTTGCAATTTGGCTGCATAGGATCAAGAGTTTAGATGGTACGTTTTACATTCATCAGGAGTTCATGCGCTCTGAAATAATCAGAGTAGTTTCATTTTATGTACCTATTCATTCAAATTTTCTCTTTTGTTACCATTCTAGTAAAGTAAAGCTCATGTGAGCTTTATTTTACAGAGATTAATCGATTATTTTGTAATAATTTTGCTATTTTATACAATCTACAGTTGTTATTCTCTTAGATATGAATAAGATGTTTTTTAAATGTGTTGTTTATGTTCTTATAAGGTGTATTCATCATAACAAAATTGTGCACCAAATGAAGCCTGAAAGATCGTAATAATAAACAATAAGAACCTCGATTTCAATTCAGTTAGTATGTACTAAAATTAACACAGATCTGATAAGTTTGGTAATTTATAACACCTCTTCTGAATAATCTTAAAAAAAACTCATTTCACATTCCTGTTTTCTTATCATAATTGAATGACGATAAACACTAAGGTAAACCCGAGATCGGTCCCTAATTAGGAGATTAGATGGTGTAGTTTTTAAAAAATGAATCCCTTTCAGAACAGAAGAGAGAGAGAGAGAGAGAGAGAGAGCAATGGCTCTGAATTAAACTAACAGCAGCTTCATTGACAATCCGATAAATATGGTAATAACAAATATAACTCCACATCAATCAAACGCAAAAAAAAAGAAAAAACCTCGTACTTAACACAGAAACCATAAAACCGTGAAACAAAAACAGTAACGATGAATCAGACCTAAACCTCGTCCTCGTGAAGAAGCAAGTTGGGGATTCCCTTGTTAATGGGGAATCGCCGGCCAGTCTCCGGGCAGACGAGGCCGCCCTCCTCGACGTGGATCTCGAGAAGCGCGTGGTGGAATCGTCGGAGCAAGTCGTCGTCAGAAGCGAGCAAGGACGAGTCGGGGGCTTCATCAGGAAGAAGATCGTTGAAGCCGAGGGAGCGGGCAGAGCCGACGAGGGCAGGCCAATCGATCTTGGGGAAGATGCCTCGGAGGAACTTGGCGTTGAAGTCAACCTCCTTCTCGGTCCATTTCTCCGCTTCAAGCCGCAGCGGGTAACCGTTCGTCACGCCCTTTATGTTGCAGGAGAGCATGTTGTGCGTTAAAAGTCTCATCTCTGTCGCTCCACCGTTTCTTCCTCTCTCGTCAAGGCGATTCTATCGAAGGATGCCGAATCGTCTGACCTTTTTTTATTCGGGCAGGAGTGGTCTCGGTGAATGGGTTGGGTTGGGCGGGTCAGATGGGAAAAAATTTGTATTCGATTAGACGAAATAAGAAAATATGCAAGCCAGACGCTTTGAAGGGCAAATTTTATAATTTTTTAAAAAATTTTATAAGTGAAAACTAATCTGGAAAAAAATAAAAATAAAATAAGTTTTACTTTTTACATACCTAACACTTAAAATTACAATATTTACCTATTTAACATTTAAAGTTACCGATTTACTATTTCACCGCCTCAAAACCCTTAGCCTTATAAAAAAAAAAATACTATGTTTCCTCCTGTCAAAGGCAAACCTGAAAGAGCGCGGGAATCTCCTCTCGTTTTCGTTGATATTGGAGCTGCTCCCTCTCTCGCACGATCGTCTTCTCTAGGCCGCCTGAAGATATCCCAACCAAGTTGTGTTGTTCGAACGTTCGATTCCCATGCTGCGCCCCTTCTCCATTTTGCGGGTCCAACATGGCTAGTCTTCTCCCTTTCGCAACGTCCCCTTCACAAAATTGCTCCAACATTATCTTTAGGTATTTTCTTGCCCCGTCGTTGTAGAGAATGCAAAGGAAAAATCACTCCAAGGTTTCGTTGATTACCTTGGATTTGGCTTTATTTTATACAAAGCTTTGTTTCATTACCTCTAAAGCAAAATTTTAGATTTTCATTACCTCTAATGCAAAAAATTGTACTTGCATATATGGAGTGCATTAATTTGTGTTATATTGTCTTCAAATATGGAGGATATTAGATTGGGGTGAATGGCAAATTAGGATGAAATATGTTGGAGGAAGTCAAAAACCTTTGAAGTTTGAGAAAGGCTAAATTAATTTGTTATTATTGAAAGAATAAACTGAAGCACTCTGCCGATGGCTTAGGGGTCATGCATACGATTTACACTATCATTTTAATAGCACATCGCCTAAAATTTATATAATGATTAGGAGTGCTATAATATAAAATGAGTGTTTTATGTGGTATATTAGTAAATAGATTAGTTTATGTGTTAAATATGTATTTTCAATTGTTTTACGTGTTAGTATATAAAAACCCCAAAATAAAATTAATGCCAGCAGTTTGCTTAGGCAACGATTGGTGCTGATGTGGCATAGGAGGCGCTATGATATTTCATAGCTATGATGTGGCATGGCAAAGCTGTGACATGGCAGATAACGTGGCCAAACAACAAGTCTTTCACCTAATGAAGGACTGGTATAGCAAACGACCAATGAAGGACTTCATATTGAATGGAGTAAGTGATCTTAGGCTCAGGCTCCTTGGATTAGTCTTTTGACTACAAGCATGCAAATTTTGAAAATCATTAGTAATTAATTTAGTGAAGTTTCAATTATATTTCAAATGTTTGATTTGGGCTCATTCAGACTCGGATTGGACCACTTTTTATATCACCGAATTCTTCTCGTTGAGATGTTTAATTAGATTATTAGTTTGGTAAAAACAGAGTTAAGTTGGTCATGAATTTAATTTTGAAAATTTTTAATTCAAATGTGAATCAAAATTTGTGTTTGATTAAGACGATTTTCAATGATATATCAATAATTAAAAAATTAGATAATAAATTGTTTTGTTACTATCACTTTATAGATTTGATTGTAAAACCTGTTTATCACCATAAAAAATATTAAAATAATAAAAAAATCATAACAAAATGAAATGTAAAAATTATTTAAAAATAAATTGTATAAAAGAGGCCTAAATGGACTCTTAGTTTTTACATATAGTAGAGGGGATAATTTATTAGATTTTTTTATACTTGTAATAAAAATACTTTATAAAATCATTTAATGGATCCAAAACCAATAAAAATAATTATTAAGTGCAAAAATATATTGCATTTTAGTTTTGTTGTGTCCTGGAGTATTCACGGCGGTAGAGAAATATAAAATTAGCATCTAAGTGTTGTACGAAGATCCAGCACACAAGCAGATAATAGAGAGAGGGTGTAGCATTCATTAGAGACACCAAAGTTTGTACGTGGAAACCCCTGAAAGAGGGAAAAATCACGGGGTCTGGCCCAGTTTGAATGAATCCATTAGTATTGCAGTCGATTACAAATATGGCCCTTCCTTGGGAGAAGGCATTGGCTCGATGTCACAAATGTACATCATATAGAGTGCATTACATGGTGGGAGTTATAATAATCAACATAGATATGTTTGTTTGGTCGGTAGGATCATAATTGATAGGATAGAGGCCGAAAAGATCATAGTAGACTAGAGAGTGGGGTTAGAAAGATTGTTGTTTGGCGATGTAGGCCAGAATGACCGTAGTAGGTGACGGAGGTCGGAAGGACCATAGTCGGCAGAAGATAGGTGTCTGAAAGATCGTAGTTGGCAAGAGACCGGGGTCAGAAAGATCGTTGTCTGGTGATGGAGGTCGGAAGGATTGTAGTATGCGATGGAGGCCAGAAGGACCATAGTAGACGGCAGAGGTCAGAAGGACCGTAGTCGACATGAAACAGAGGTCAGAAAGACCGTTGTCTGGTGATGGAGGTTGGAAGGACCGTAGTAAGCAATGGAGGTCAGAATGATCGTAGTCGGTAGGAGTTTGGGGTCCGAAAGTCCATAGTAGTAGGGCGATACTCCGGTAGAACTTTGGGCATCAGGTGGTGGTCCGCTAGAAGTCTAGGCCTCAGGTGGTGGTCTGATAGAAGTCCAGACGTCAGATGGTGGTCCGACTGAAGTTTGGGCGTTAGGTGGTGGTTCGGCAAAAGTCCGGGCCTCAGGTGGTGGTCCGGCAGAAGTTTGGGTGTCAGGTGGTGGTCCGGCAGAAGTCCGAGCGTCAGGTGGTGGTCCGGCAGGAGTCCGAACGTCAGGTGGTGGTCCGACAGAAGTCCGGGTCTCTGGTGGCGGTCCGACAGAAGTCCGGGCCTCAGGTGGTGGTCCAGCAAAACTCCAGGCGGTGGTAAAGGAGGAGCGAGGAGGTAAGAGCGATCTCTGATCTCTCTCTTGCTCTCTTGATCTCTTGCTTGGAGCCTCCCTTTTAAGATGGAGGAGGGGGTCTATTTATAGATTTTCTGGAATGGCAAGACCCATAAATTGGTGGGATATCAAGGGCATATGGGGAGTGGCTTAGATGGACGGCGATGTTGAATCCCTTGATTATGGACCATTTGATGGACATTTGAATGTCTTAGTGATGTTGGAATTTAGTGATCTTAAGCTCGTTAGATTCGTCTCGTCGAGCCACTCGATTCGACTATAAGCACGTCATGTTTGGAAACCGTTTGGTAATCCAAATTGTGGTTTGAACCCTCCATCATCGCTTAAGACCCTTGATTTGGACTCATTTGGGCTCAAATCGAGTCGAATTTGGTGTCGTTGGGTTCGTATTTCCGAGACGTTTAGTTCGACTATAAGTTTGCTAAAATTAGAGTTCAGATGGTCCCAATTTTAATTTTGTTCCAACTTGATTTTGCCTCGAGATTCGTGCACGATCAAGATAATTTTTAAAGGATGTATCAAGTTTTATTTTTATAGTGTTATAAAATTTTATAAGTATTAGTAATTTTACAAAGATCCGCATATGCGTAAATATAAGAAGCTCAAACAAGACACCGTACGTAGTTCTTACACAAGAAAATGCAATATTATAAAAAAAAAAACAATAAGATTTGTGATCCATTATTTAAGATTATTGAAGTTTGAAAACGAAATTATGAAGATTAAAGCTCTAACTTGACCTCATGTGGTTGTAGTTAAGAATACTAAAAAACAATGAAAGGTGATGACAATATTCAAGAGACGGTCATCAGATGACAATAGTTGAGTGATCATAGTAGAGCTATAGCAACTAGTTGACGACAATCACACGGTGCGGTCAAGTAATGACAATCGGGCGAAGAAAGTCAATGTATGATGGTCGTGAGTTAATATCCGGGCAACGAAAGTCGGGAAATAGTAGTTGAATGAGAACAACAAGGTGATGACAATTGCTAGAGATGATCGGAAGCATCAATCATCAGGACGAACTTTAGAATTTCTTCAAATCTCTCATCTCCTTCCTGCAAAGAATAGGGGTCTATTCATAATTCTTTTTATGTGACATTTTAATAATTTTATTCGAAATCCCATACATCCTATTGGAGAACATGTATTGATTCCTTTAATATAAACTGCTTTTTAGACATTTAGGTAGCTTAATGATATTGGAATTGAATGATTTTAGACTCATTGAGATGCTCAATTTGATTACAAGCATATAGTATTCAAAGATCATTTAGTACCTCAGTTCACAAATATATTTAAATGCTTGATTTAGGGTCATATATTTTTTTATCAAGTTTTTTGTAAGTCAACAAAATAAGCAAATAGTTATTTTAGTATCTGTAGGTACACATATTATAAATATATTATACTTTAACAACCTGAAATGATATGATTATTTTTACATTATATTGATCGTGTATGATCATGCTTGACCATTAACATTATGCCAAAGTCACCATCATATTAATGATCATGTGCATTTGATCAAAATGTCACCATCAGCCCATGTATCATATAATCATGCTTGCCCATCTCTCTTCCTTTCTTCTGCCTGCTTCTGTTTTGCTGTTCTCTTGCAGGTTCTTTAGCTGGAGCTCTTCTCGATATGGATCGGTCTTCTCTCTTTTGCTTCTCTTGGGTGCCCCTCTTGTTGGTTTGCTTCTTCCTTTGTTAGTTTTCTTTCAATTTACTTGTAATTTGGTTAGATGGATTCGATGACTCGTAGGTTTTGTTTCAAATATTGTATTTCTAGTGAGCTTTTGAATCCTTAAGGACTTGTAATTCTTTTTTTATATTAACGTGTAGGCCCCTCTGTGGATCGCCCAACAAAAATAAATGCAATTGATCCTCATTTTACTTTTTTCACATTGTATTGAATTTTTTAATAGATTTCATGTGACTTATTAAGGTCTTATGCTTATATTTTTGCGTGTGTGTATTATTAGTTTTAAGAAAGAAAAAAAAAAACTTATAGTTGTTGATCAGACTCAATGGTCAGGTGCTTGAAAATTATAGTTATATTGCACATGATATGAATATCAAAGTATTGTTGATTGATTTTATTTGGATGATGTGATTGATTTTATTTTGGATGATGTGATAATTGTAGTAGTTAACATTAGTTACTATGATGATGATGTTTACTCTCCTTTTTTATTAATCATAATGTAATTGATTGATTTTGGCTTCGTTTGGGAAGGCTCAGCTTTCTAGAAAATTGTTTAAAAAAGTCATTCCAAACGAAGCTTTAGGAACACAATTTTGATAATGTATATGGGTTATTTTAGACTGTAATTGTTATGATAATGTACATGAAATATATTTTAAATATATTTATTGCTTATATTCTACTAGTTTATTAGTTTTATGTTGTATGGATGAGAGTGTTTAATCTATTTGATCTGTGGTTTTTGAGGACCTGTCTATGAAGTGAATTGATTTTTTTTTTTTTACTTATTTATATTTTTATTTATATATTTATTTTCTTGAAGTGAATTGAATTTATGACACTTCACATGGGTTAAATTTAGGTTTTTTCTTGCTGTCTACTTACTAATATGTAGGGTTTGTGTTGGGTTAGGATATAAAAAAATATTACTATAAAAGACTATAAATACCTATGTGTACATCTCGAGTTGAGAAAAAATATTTTGTATATATATATATATATATACAGAGAGAGAGAGATCGGGTAAGCCACCAGATGGTCGACAGAAGCTCTTCCTCTCCTCTCATCCGGTGCCCGAATCCCCTAATGTCAAAAAAAAAAAAAAAAACCGTACATATAGAGTTCGAGTAAGCTGCTAGATGGTCGACGGAAGCTATTTCTTTCCTCTTATCTCGAGCCCGAATCCCGTAAGTTCAAAATAAATAAATAACATACATATAGAGATCGGGTAAGCGACCAAATGGTCGACGGAAGCTCTTCGTCCCCTCTCATCCCGTGCTCAAATCCCCTAACCTAAAAAAAAAAAAAGAAGATACAAATAAGTGGTTGCACCCAAAAAATAATTGAAAATGAATGAAAGCACTTGTGTAATGTAATAATTAAAATAGATACAATTTATTATTAAACAAATGTAGGTATGTGTAGCCCTAAAGGTTGTACACATCTAATATATATATATATATGTGCGATAAAATCGATTTTAATGAACAATCACCCCTATGTATTGAATCAAATATAAAAAAAATTATTTAAATGACCTGTATATAGGCTTATAGATCTTAAAAATAATTCTAAAGGTATTTGAAGATTATCCACTTCAAACAATATGTACATAGGTGTGTACAGCCTAAAAATGTAATTTTAAATTGTTGTATAAATTTATTATGTACACATTTAGGCTTTGTTTGAGGCGGCTTTTTAAATACTTTTTAAAACAGCTTTTTAATACAAAAATTTCTAGTTCAAGAAAATTTTTGTACTAAAAAGTTTCTTTCAAAAATAGTAAAAAAATCGTCCCAAACGAAGTCTTAAAATAAAAAAATTGCTACTAAATACATGTGTGTATATATGTATATAACTCAAAAAATTACTTTAAAAGGCTCATATGCCCTTATGTAAAAACTTAAAATATGAAAAATATTGATATTAAATACATTTACATATGTATTTATATCCTCACAAAGTTTGTACATATGGGTATGAACATAAATAGAAGAATTTTACTCTTAAAAATACTATTATATGCCTTCATATAAATGCATATATTCCCAAAAATAATTCTAAAAAGTTGTAAAGACCTAGCATAGAATAATTTTTTCATAAAATAACGATACAATGTATTGCACAAAAGTTAATTATAAAGGATTGCATATACACACTTATGTACCTCCTAATCCCCTATAATGTCTTTGTACACTTTAAAATACATTGCATGAGATTATTTTGTTAAATAAAGTGATTGAAATGTTGTACATGGTATGCACATGTATAATTACTATTAAGCTTATGTAAATACGTGTTAACAGTCCTAAAAATGGTGAAATTATTACTTGTGGTGGTCATCGGACGTTGTTCGGAAGCCAATCAGATGCGCCACATCACCAATACACTATATATTATCGCTATTTATAATTGTGTATCAGATGATGTAGAGCATTCTGATTGACCTCCTGATTGTCCCGTGACAGCACTTAATAATTTTTGCTAAAAATGGCATGATCTGTAATAATAAATTATGCATTTTCTGTATTTGAGTAGTTTGGTTATTAGTGAAGATATAATTTTGAAGAAGTTCATCATATTTGCTGTTTAATAATTACTAATTAATGAAATTCACGTGAGTATTGCCATATTTTATCATGAATTTAAATTTTTTATTCTAATATTAAATATAAAAAAATTGAAACTTGCCCACACAACAGATACCGGTGGACCGGACCGTTCCAGCGCGGCCCCACCTTCCATTCCTCCACGTGGCGTGATTAATTTGGAGCAGTTCACCGGTGAAGTCCTGAAGACAGGGTAATCATGGCAGGTAAGCAGGTTTGAAAAGCATGGAAAGCAGCCCGCCCTACTCCAATGGGAAGAAAGAAGAACCCTACAGTTCTCACCTTCTCTTCTCCATTTCCTCCTCCTCCTCTCCAGCCTCGTCTCGCGAATTTTAGGTTTCGGGTTTAAGGTTTTGGGCTAGCGATATGGAGAACGATGCTGCGCTGCGCGTCTGCCTTCTGGCGCTGGCGGCGTTAATGGCGGTGGTCGGTCTCTGCACTTTCTCGTTCAAGAAGGTGATGGTGACCTACGTTTACGGGATTCTTGGTATTGCTGGTTTGCTGCTGCCGGATTGGGAGTTCTTCGACCGGGATTTCTCACAGTGGTTCACCCCCATGACGGTGCCTCCAGGGTCGGCTGGTAATCAGACCGCTAGGGTTAGAAGGTTCGGTGCTTTGGCAACATTTATTTCTTGTAGTTTGAGCTTTTATCCTTAACTGTTTCCAGACTTAGTTTTGAATGCATCGATTTTGGTTTCTGCTTTTAGTTTAATTTTGTGTGAGTGAACGCGAGTTCTAATTGTAGCTAATACGGTGGTGATTATAATCGTTCTTTTAGCTGCAACGTGAACTGCAGAAGCTGTAAATACTGTAGTGATTGAAAATTATACTGATTTCGGGGGGCAAAATTCATCTCACATCACCCGAAATTTGTCTATATATGAAACAAATACCTACTCAATAATGACCATGCATTTGCAAGTGCCACAATCGACTCTTTGAGAATTTAATGAAATTGAAAATTTGAGTGGTAGTTTTAGTTGAGTTCTTCGAACTTTGGGTCAAACTACAAATGAAGGTTACTCAGTGTTAGTTTTGTAAAAAGTTAAGTTTGAGAAAAAATTTGCCTTTTTTTCCCCAATTTCCCACTTGTATAAAAAAGTCAACGTTGATTTGCTCTGTCCTTTTTTGAGGGGGTGGGGGTGGGATATTTATAATGTTACACACACATTACATATGCTAGCTTCGAACCCAAAATCTTTTGGTTGGTAGTCAAAGCTCCCAACCAACAGATCAAGATAAGCTGCGTTGAACTGTCCTTGGCGTATGTAAAAGAAAAGACAGGCTATATATGAGATGATAATAGAGCTAGTAGGTTCTACCTTTTTCTTTCATTACACAATGAATTATTGATTAAATGAATTTGGATAACCCCAAATGAAATATTAATGTTGTATCGCCTAAAATAGAGCCTAAAAGAAATCTCAAAACTAATAGATGGATGACATGTGACATAAACTTGTCATGTGCCATCCATTCAATGGTCCTGGAGATTTATTTGGATTTTTTGGTGGGCATTAAAGCATTTTCCTAAATGAATATTTTAAATTCAGAAAATTGAAGAGGGAAAAGCTTAATTTTATTAGACAAAACTATCTCTATTTATAGATCTATACATTATATCTTAATAAAGAAACAAATAATTACAGAATCATGCATAATTACCTTAATATAATCCTCTCTAAATCAACCACTCAAATATGGAAGGAGATCGGTGGACAAGATTAAGGGGAGATTGAATTATTAATTTATTCAACAAACTTGCTCATAGTCATAGTCATGTATAATTGTTCTCTATTTATAAGATAAATCAATTACTATCTAGAAATATAAATTCAAATTCAAAGCAATCATACAAATAGGAATGGACTCCTTGAAAATAATAGCTAATCCTTAAATCTTAGAAAAAGAAGAAAAAACCATAAACATATGCAAGCTATTTAAAGAAATCCCTTGAAATTCTTCTAAGTTTAACCCACCAAAGCTTATGGATATGATTCGTTTTGAGTTTGTTACTTGGATCTACTTTGTGTATCAATTATGTGTTCTTTGGGCTTCTTGCTCCTATGTTCTATACACTATATAAATGCTTCTTTCATCAGATGATCCAATGAAGCCAATTCCTCTACTTTGACCACCTTCAACAAAATCATCAAGATCAGCATTGTTAGTCGGGTGATTTGATATAATTGAAATTTAGAAAAGCCTTCCTCTAATTTGATGGTCAAGAGATAATAATATTATGGCATTATAATATGGGTGAGGGAAAGAGTTCTGTTATTGAAAAATTATAAGCAAATCGAATTTATTTGGTTCCATTGTTGCAACAGCCCTAGACTTTTAATTGAGTTTTATTTTATTTTTGGGTTTTCTTGTTAAATTTCTTTCTCTATACTGAACTCTTGGGCCACTCCATAAAAAAATTCTGACTTTGCCGCTGCTTTGCACGCATTAGGGCGTTGCTCGTTCATCTTTATCGACTTCTTTCTACGATTTTTTTTTTTTCCTTCAGTCTTTATTTTCCTTGTCATCTTATGTTTTTTCACATGAAATTTTAGATATGCAAGCTTGCATTGCAAAATTTTCTAATTTTCCATTCAGTACATGTCACATGTGGTAAGGTAATTGTTATTCTACTCTCTGGGCAGGTTCAAGTTTTACCCTCTAAGGGTTACAATGCTTGCTACAATTTATTGCTTTGGTCTGTACAAGTGGTGGATGTTCGTATCGACCTAATTGCTCTTTCAGGTTCAAGTTTATATATATATATTTATCATCATACTTTATCTGATGATATTACTTTGTTTCATAGTAAGATTTGTAAAACAATCAAGGTTTCGTTTGGGATGATTTTCTTATTGCTTCTTAGCGTATCTTTTTAGTATAAAAACAAATTTTTTAACTAAAAAACTGTTTTATAAAGCAGTAAGAAAGCTATCCCAAACAAACCTAAGTAACTTTATTATTCCATCTGTGGTTTTGTTCATGGCTATTTGACACTAGAATGACATTAATAGTTGACTTTGCTAATTAATGTGGCATGTCACCTTCAAATATTTTTCATCAACCTATTGTTTAATGTGTCTTATGTGTAATACATATTATTGTTTAATTAAAACATTAAAAAAATATTGGCAATTTTACATCAATAATATGTATAATTAGAATTTAGAAACAAGCATTTTGAATAATATGCATAAGATATTCTGCACCACACGATTAATTGAAAATGATAAATTAATTGGAAGTATCAGTTAAAAGTAGCTGTCAAATCATGGTACTGTTTTCAAATCATTTTATCATCCAATTTGACGGCTCTTAGGTAGGGGTGTCAATATTTGACACGACCCAAAAATTCGACCCAACCCCGAAACGGGTCGGGTTCGGGTTCAGCATTTCGACCCGCTTCAAAAATCGGGTCGGGTTCGGGTTAACCCATTGACCCGAAATTGACCCGAAAGTGACCCGACAACCCGATTTTGACCCGACAACCCGATTTTGACCCGTTTTTTACCCGAAAAGAGGAGATTGACCCGTTTTGACCCGAAAATTAGCCATTTTTTTGTTGGAAACGGGTCATTCGGGTCGGGTCGGGTTGACCCGGACCCGAAGCGGGTCGGGGTCGGGTCAGGAAAACTGACCCGTTTTTAAAAATGGGTCGGGTTCGGGTTGACCCGAATAGTGCCGGGTCAGTTTCAAGTTCGATCCGAAACCCGACTCGTGACCTGAAATTGACACCCTTTGTAACATCAGTTTTTCTCCAGTATCGTCCGGGCCGATCGTGGATCATCCCGGGACGATCAGTTGAAGTTTTGTTACAGAATGTGTACAGAAGTTACAGGAAAGTTTTCCTCCCAGTATCGTCCGGGCCGATCGGGGATCGTCCCGGGACAATCAGAGCAATGCAAAAGACAGAGAGTAAGGGTTTTTATCGTCCGAGAAAATTAATTATCGTCCTGAGAAATCGTCCCAAGACGAAGTGATTTGTTCAGATCGTCCTGGACGATCGTGCGATTGACCGGGCCGATCTCAAGTTTATTTAAAGAAAATCAGTCGTTTTGAAGAGAGAAAAATCAAACAAAAATATCAGAAATTCTGAGGAGAGAGAATGGAAAAGAGGAAAAGAGAAAAAGTTGATTTCGAGGCAACGCCGGTCCGTTTTCGTCCGTCGAGACAGTTCAAGAAATTGGTGTACGCAAGGTAAGGCACATTCCGCCTTTCTCAATTTTCAGAACGGTGAAGTTTGAACGATTTTTCTGTCCGGATTTCGTTTTCGTTAGCGAATTTCGTCCGTATTTTTCGATTGGTTCAGTTTTTACCGCGTAACTTTTGGTATGTTTCTGAGGTGCCGAGTGCGCACGTTTTAATTATTTTCTGGAGAATTTTGACCGGATAGTTTTGATTCGGCGGTGTTTTATTTTGACTGTAATTTCTGATGAAGTCTGAAATTGTCTGGGCAGTAGAATAAAAGTCTTGCAATGTTGTTGTGAATATTCTATGCTAATTTGGTAATTTGTGAATTTTTTTGATATGATTTATGATTCTGATATGATTCTGTTCTGTTCTGATTTGATCTGATCTGTATGATTCTGTTCTGATTCAATTTCTAGAATTTTGATTTCTGTGATTTTTGTTAAGTTCTGATTCGATATACGATTATGTTGATCTGATTTCTGTACGGATTTTTGTCTGATGTGTTTGATGTGGATTCTGAGGATTTTGATTGGAGGTTTGATGTCTTGCTGAGCTGTTGTAGCTCATCCTTGTTTTCTGCATGGTTTTCAGGTTCTGGAAAAAGGAAGGAAGTCTTGGAGTAGGAGTTCAGAGTCTGATCTGTTATAGGTATTTTGTACTTTTGATTTTTTTACAGTCATAGCTTTTATGTTCTGTTTTTCTTTCTACCTGAAAGACATGAGTTGTATTTGTATATGATTTTTTTTGAGGAAGAAAAAGATAGATGATCTGTTCCGCTGCATTTTGATGTTTATAGTAGCTCTGTGTGTTTGTTTCTGTGTGTAAATGTTTGGAAGAAAGTTCTGAAACAAATTCCAAAGCCAGATCCTGGAATCAGTTCAATCAGTTTGAGTTTGGGCACGACCCGATGCGAGCGGGATCCGTCCCAGTCGGGTTGGGTCGTGACACCCTTACTCTTAGGGCATCTCCAACGGAGAACTCCATTTTTCACGGCAAAATACAGTAAAACTCTAAAATGCGGTAGTCTGCTCCAATCGAACTCCATTTTAAATGTTTATGTGAAGGTAATGATCCTTCTCCCCTTTCACGCTTTTTTTCCACAAATTCGGTTGAGAGAGCAAAATTGCATATGTGAACAGTGCAACTCCAATATCGGTGTCGCACTGTTCACCCGAGAGTAAATGGTGGAAGATTTGACGGTCGTTTGGAGCGACCAAACGACGCCATACGCACGTTTGGTGTTCGGTTGGAGATGCTCTTATTCGTTTTGGCATCTTATTTTGTTTGGATGCTTAAGTTTCATTTGAGACGTTTTTTTACTGATTTTTAAAGCAATTTTTCAGTATGTAATTTTTTTCAACTAAAAATTTTGTACTAAAGAACTGCTTTTAAAAATATTAAGAAAATCATCTCAAAGTCTTAGTGAGTATCATAGTTGAAAGAACGGATATTTTTTAAAATAATTTTTTAGTATTAAATTATTTTGAATTATAAATTTTTATATTAAAATAATATTTTTAAAAATAATAAAAAAAGCCGCACCATATGAAACCTAAGTATCATAGCACAAAGAAGGGCAAGGGGGCAACTGCTTGCCACTCATCGTTGCTAATATTTAAATTCATTGAATATTTAAAGAATTCTTATGACAAGTTTTGGTTTTGTTTTGGGATAATTTTTTTATTGTTTTATAAAATTATTATAGATAATATAACTTTTTAAAACTTTTATAAAAAATAACCTTTTATTATAAATTTTTGAAAAAACTTAAAACGTGATCCTCAAAGCTAGAATTTCTAATTTCATGTAATCAAATGAGCCCTTGTAACGTTATCCTCAAAGCTATAATATACAAAAGTGTTGCCATAAAGATTGAAATCTTTAGCCCTTCAAAACAGCAACAAGCCCACCCTCTTACATTCGGGTCTCGTCTAGTTCTCCGGCTCCTTTTTTCGTCTTTAAAAGTGTCGGAACGGAGAAAGGATAATTTATTTCTTTTCAAATTGGTAGAAATACAGAGATTTGGGAGAAGGTATTTTGAAAAAATCATCTTAACAAACAACAAAATAATAATTCTTTCACCGATTCAAATCAAAGACGGAGAAATTACGGCCAAACAAACGAGGCCTCAACCATGCCAATCTGAATGAAAAATCAATACTTGTAGTTGGCTCATAGGAAAATCATGGTAATAATAATTGCATAGTCTTGGCTTACAAGATCACCCACCTCACATATAGCTCAAGAGATACAAAGTTGAGCTTATCTTCCTCTACAAGTCCAACTCTTGCAAACTTTAGCTATCCTTGATTTCTTCAAAACCAACAAATATAGAATCCATGTAAAAACATTCACATTAAAAAAAAAAAAAGAAAACTAAGGTTGGCAATGTAAATATTACTTTCAATACAAAACCAGCTAATGCAGCACCTTACAACAAAAAATTGGCCTTTTGAATACAACTAAACACAAATAACAATCATCTTCCACCAGACAACTCTATAGCATCCTGGTTATATATGGAATCATCACCCCAATCAAATCTCCTTTGAAGCATTTCATACTCCTGTCTTCTATTGACCTCAACCTGCTGCCATTCCTCCCATCTCTCCGACAAGCCCTCTCCTTCAAGCATCCGCACCACCTCCGACATCGATGGACGGTCTTCCGGCGTTGCTTGTGTGCACAGGAGAGCTACCTGGATCATCTTCTCCACTTCCTCAACATTGTAGTTCTTGTTCAAATTGCGATCGATTATGGATTCAAGACGCTTTTCTCTCACCAATTTCTTGACCTGTCCAAGTGTGGAACAAGAGCAAAGCGAACAGAATCATCATTTCATTTCATCATTAGCCATATTCAAATTGTTTAGAGTCGATTTTATGAGCCCGGGTTCTCCCATGAAAAGGACAAATCTAAGAATAGGATCTGGCATTGCAGAGCATGGAGCATCAAATTCTACATTGAAAATTAAAATGAAGCACCGAAAAATGGTATACTAAAACTTTATTAGAAAACAAAATGTTGCTCGGAAGTGTAATATATAATTCAATGAGATTCAACGACATTTACAATCACACTGAGATCAAACAATTTGGTATCAAGATGGAGCACCACATGAAAACTAGTTTGTCCATATTGAATGAAGATATATAAGGCAATTATAGTATAAGTTCTTAAGTCTAATTGGCATCAAAAGATTTTGTTGTCAAATCATATATTTAAAAAAAAAAGGAATATTTCAATAAAATCAAAAGATATAATAAAATAAAGCTTATGTAGAAGCCTTTATATATGAGGCATACTTAGCACATAAAACTTTTCTTCTTTTTTTTCTCTTACAAATTCTATTCACATGTGCTATACAATCAAGCTAAAGTAAGCCATAATGATGGTCATGGAGATGAAATAATCCAGTCATTCACATCAAGTTTTAAAGTACCAGATAAAAATGTGATGAATGTGCATAAAAATAATTTAGTGATTATGACTACAATATAATGTCAAATTACAAGGGGTTGTTCATTTCTTAGAATAAGTTTCATAATATATTTATATAATGTTATTTATTTAGTTATTCAATATTAATATATACATCTACAAATTATATGTTAATGAAAAGAATACTGGGATTTGGAAAAGATAGAATTTTGAGTTGAACTATATTTAATATTGTCTTATTATTGGGATATTTTGATTTCACTTCATATCTTATACTTTTTTAAGTTTTATATTATTCACTCATTAGTATATAAAAAATTTATCATTTTCTATTTACGCAATCTTTTGAAAAACACCTTGAGGCTTACGCCTCACCTCACAAATGAAAAACGCCTCAATACCCGAATACGCAATTTTAAACATTGCTAAGGCAATTATACTATAAGTTCTTAAGTCTAATTGGTATCAAAATATTTTGTTGTCAAATCATATATTAAAAAAAATAAGAATATTTCAAAAAAATCAAAATATCTATTAAAATAAAGCTTATGTAGAAGCCTTTATTTATGAGGCATACTTAGCACATAAAACTTCTCTTTTTTTTTTTTTGTTCTCTTACAAATTCAAGTCACATGTGCTATACAATCAAGCTAAAGTAAGCCATAATGATAGTCATGGAGATGAAATAATCCAGTCATTCATATCAAGTTTTAAAGTACCAGATAAAAATGTGATGAATGTGCATAAAAATAATTTAGTGATTATGAGATGACCGCTACAATATAATGTCAAATTACAAGGGGTGGAACATTTCTTAGAATAAGTTTCATAATATATTTATATAATGTTATTTATTTAGTTATTCAATATTAATATATACATCTACAGATGCTAAATGAGAATATTTTCTGTAATTGATTCTAAGATAATTGATAGCAAGATTGAAACTGAATACGTCAAGTGGCTTAGGTTATATGAATGTTTTTAAATAGAAATTCATAATTTAATTTTTAATACAACTTTGACTACATCTTTCAAGCAATACATTGTATACTAAACTTAGAATAATTATTCCTAAAATATGATTCGAGATTGAAAATTGCATGAACTTTTAAGCAATGCATTGAATACTACTACAAACACCATTTTTCTTTTATTATTAATGTGATTAGTTTCATTCTGTCAATTTCTTTTTTAAATCTCAATTGTTTTGTGTAAGGGCTCACTGATAATCTGCTAATGTAGATTTACTGATATATTTTCAAAGTCTTTACAAACATCATCTTTTGGAAGTGAGAATAAGGGGTAAATCAATAAAATCCATATTTCAGGTGACCCAAAAAAATTATTACTACAACGCCACCCACCATTGTTATTATTACATTGCCCACGCGTACCGCACCACCAATTCATAGTCCACCAATCTACCTCTCTACATTAACTGTGCATACAAGTATACAACTCCATTACATTTATATTCATCCTTCACCAAGATCATCATATGTTGGTTCATCCGTATACTACCATCGTTCTAGCCAGTTACTACCTCACCAGCACATTATATTGGACCATCCATTCACCATGAACCCTCTAGTCATCCCTTCCATAGAACTCAACACAAACCTACCCAAACTAGCCAGAGGAGCCTCGGCATGCTAAATGTAGATGGTATATTGGGCCTAATAATGATATGGTAGTCTGAACTAATATGACATGATTAGCTATACATCTTTAGTTTTTTTAATCAAATTAAGCAAGTTATGTGTCATGGATAAGGATAAATTATGGAGTTCAAGTCATATTTAATACGTTCAAGGCAATAAAAGTTTTTCTTTTTTTAATATAGAAAATGCCAACATTTATTTCAATAAATTAATTTTTTGTATTACATAATAGATTTTATTGATTTCTCTAACATTATGATATATTAGGGGGAACTTTCCGTGATGCTACTCGGCCATCATGTGTAACATGTTCATTGATATCTGCAAATTTGAGCAGAGGCTAGGTGACTTAGAGAAGCCGTGTGGGCTGAGTAATATGAGTGATAAAGATTTCGTTTAAGACGGTTTTCTTGCTACTTCTTAAAATAACTTTCTAGTAGAAAAATTTTAATTTTTTAACTAGAAAGCTGCTTTAAGAAGCAATAGGAAAACCGTCCCAAACAAAGCCAAAGTCTCGAGTATGCAAGGCAAAAGAGTAGAATCAATAGAACATGTTGATTGGCTCAATAATCAGATTATGGACTGTGGATACAAACAGTCGAGGAAAAAAAAATTTATGGAGTATGCTCTAAAAATATACCCCTTATCCTGATTATGCAGGAGATGAGTTATGAGAATGGTGCGGCGGCATGTAGCTAATATTACTAAATAGAAGCAAGCTCATATCACTGTGGAGATACAAGTGCACTTCACTACAACAGCTCAATAACAAATGAGTCATCATTGTAGAAGAGAGAGGAGAGAAAAGGAAAGGAAAATGTCTCCAAATGCTAGATAATAAAATTGAGTAAATAAATAGCCTTTAGAACAAAAGCTGTAGACCAGCCTATTTTGTGCTACTGCAGTTTCAGAAAATAAAAAGTAAAAGGACAAACGAACTTACATGGTCCAAGAGTAATACATCATCTTCCCCCTCCAAGCGTGAAAAATCTATTGCTCGTTGTCCTGTGACAAGTTCAAGAAGCATGATTCCATAACCAAAAACATCAGTTCTTTCTGATGATTTCCCTGTGGATAGATATTCAGGAGCTATGTGACCCATAGTCCCCCGAACTTGAGTTGTCACAGAAGTCTTCCTCACATCCACCAGTTTGGCCAGACCAAAGTCCCCCACAACAGCTTCAAAATCCTCATCAAGTAAGACATTAGCAGCTTTTACATCTCGATGAATAATCTTGGGATTACAATGTTCATGAAGGTACTCCAGTCCACGAGCTGTGCCTAAAGCCACTCGTTTTCTATTATGCCAATCTATGACCGGCTCCCCCGGTTTAAAATCTGCACTAGCATAATAAGAGCCGTATCCATAAGGCCTAAACCAAAAATAATTGATTTATTGATAAATTTAAGAGATAGTGATAATGATGCAGAGGTAGATTTAGAAATGCGGAAAGAGACGAGAAAACAAATTTATAGGAATAAAACATTACACCGAAATAGAAAACTGCATTCTATTGGCGTAGCTGACGAATATAGCAAGGATCCACAACGCAATTTAAAACACATACTTTCACCTTTATTTATTTTCTATTTTGCCACTGCGATGTCTAAATTTAAGCAGAGACAGCAGTATCCACATAATTCCGAAGAGTAGGAAATATCAATAGTTTCAACTACAAATTCTCGACCAATCGGAGTAGGAAAATCAAAGATGGAGAGGACACTGTAGATTTTTTGACATATAAATGACTACATCAAATGTCCCATCCCTTACATCAAATGCAATTTACTGATATAAACAAACGTTGGCAGAGCTACCGTAATTATAAGGTATATGTTGAAAGGGAAAAAAATATAATCTATAGGAATCAAATGATAGACCGACTGAGCTGGTCCAGCCAATCAACCTGGCCCCAATAAGGGAGGCCGATCTAGCTGGCATGCAAAAGAGTCCTGTGGGCCCCACTAGTGTGGGCGTCGGCCAAGGAGAGGGGGACCAAAGGAGATTAATTCTATCTTTAATTACTTATCATAAAAAATCAAAATTGGGAGGAAACTAATAAGGTTTATTTAGGGAAAGATGACTGATTTGAATTCAGATTTGAGAAGGAAATATGAAGGTTTATTTAGAAAAAAATTGTTGATTCGAATTCAAATTTGGGAGGGAATTAGGAAGGTTTTCTTTGGAGTTGGAGTAGTTTTCTTTGGAGTTCTTCCTAGCTGCGCCTAGGGTTTGTGGAGAGTCGATCTACCTCTCGAAAAACAGTTTAATTTGTATCTTGGTTAGTTGTGCAGATATCAATAAAATTAGCCCATAATCTCCTTCTTTCTCGTTGATTTTTGTTGTGTTTTCTATTCATTATTATTATTATTATTATTATTTTGCTATGTGAAGATCGGATTCCTATCAAATTTGTATAAGAGCACCTTTGTTGGGACCTATAATGGCAAAAAAGGTTGATGAGTTGGAGGAGAGGCTTAATGGGGAAGTTGAAAAATGCATATTTCAGAGAATGAATTTTAACAATTAAGGGTAGATTTTCGAATTTCGAATAGATGATGAAAAGGATGTTAGAGTTTCAAGCCACGATGGTATCATCAGAGGCAAAGGCACCGTTGATCAGACAAGGAAGTGGGAAAAATCCTAATATAGGGACGAGGAGGGAAGATCGGGAGGTAGAAATTTTATGGGAAGAAGAGGAGATGCCATCTTCAAAGCTACTTCAAGGAGAGGAACAGGTGAAGGGTATAACCGACGAAGAACTGGGACGGTGAAGATGGGAAAGTTGATTTGGGGGAGAAGGAAACATGGAGGACTCACAACACCCGCTACACTGGAGGAGGAACAAGCAATGGGGGCAGTAGCGATCCTAATGTAAGAAAGTTAAAGATGTCGATTTTTTAGAGAGAAGATGATCACGGGTGGATTTATCGGGTGGACCGATATTTTGTTGTGAATGGGTTGACAGAAGATGAAAAACTCACCACTGCGGCTCTGTATGGAGGGGAATGCCCTATCCTGGCACCAGTGGAGAGACTTGTGAGATCCGATCAGATCATGGAGGGAGTTCAAGGACTGTCTACAAGAACGATTTTGAACAAGTCGGTAAGAAGACTTCTGTGAACAATTTTTTGCCTTGTTGCAGGAGGAGACAGTGATAGAGTACCGGAAGAAGTTCGAGTACTACTGTGCTAGATGGGAACTTTATAAAAGGACTCAAGCCTGATATTCAAGCAGTTGTTCAAGTACTGAGACCACGTGGCTTAGGGGAGGCTATGGAGTTAGCCCAACTAGTGGAGGATAAAAACTCTTTGGAGAGTATCCGTAGCAACGGTTCGGGAGTCTCCCACCCCACAACCATTATATTTATGGCACCAAAAGTGCATACGGTACCTATTCAGAAGGAATCCCCAAGGGATAAAGGTCAAGGAGTATGACCAAGGGTAACTTCAAGATTGTCTGAATCAGAAATTCAGGAGATGATTTGGTGTTTTAGAGTAATTTTCTTTGGTGTAGTTCCTAGCGGCGCTTAGGATTTATGAAGAGTCGATCTACCTCTCGAATAACAGATTAATATATTGGTTTGTTGTGCCGATATTAATAAAATTAGCACATAATCTCATTCTTTATCACTGATTTCTGCTATCTTTTATCTTCATTATTGCTGGGTTTTTTTTTTAATGTGGAGATCAGATTCCTATCATTAAATTTCATAAATTTAATGGTCCTTCACATTTTAAAAACTGACATAATATAGACAATCAAAATATAGTCAATGATTAAGGTTCATATAACAAGAAATGAGATGAAAAGTAAGGGAAGTGGGGCAAGCAACCACTTGATTTCGGCTAAGTCTCCAAGAAGTGATTAAATTGACAGTCTCACCAACCCGTGAAATCCAAAAGCAAGTAGCACATCACAATTTTTAAATTCATAAAATAATAAATAAATTATAATTGATGGACATAATCAAAATATTCATCTCATTAAGAACATATTTTAAAACAATTTTCAAATCTCAAAGTACTCAAATATTTGGGAAAAAACTTCAAGAATTGATTCGAGATTATTCAAACTTCATTTTGAGCAAATTTATATTCAAGATAATGTTGTTCCCAAATCCAATGATATCAAGAATGCCCAAGTCAAAGTCTAACTGAGTTTATTCAAGCACTCAAAAACATAATTGAGAAGTTCTTTAAGCTATTTGGGAGTCAAAGACCGCAAATTTCATGCACTTATAGTTTGAATGAGCATCTCAATCACAAATTCGACAAACTTAAGGTCACTCGATTTTGAGTTTCAGAGTTAGTTAAGGCATTGCTATATCCAAAAAAAATATAAAATGATATAAGATGGTCTTTTTGAACCTATGATGCACCAACACTTCTCCTCAAAGAGGCATGCAGTGTCTGACACGTGTCTTACATGACACGTGTCAGACACACTAAAAGTGTGACCAATTGAAATATTAAATACAAATTGGACACCTGAGTCTTAAATATTTTATGATTTTTTTTAATATAATTTCTTGTAGTTGAAATTTTTATTTATTTAAAATATAAAAATTAAATTTCTTACGTCATGTCCACAACATCAAATCAATCGTCCGCACTCAATACCACATTCATAAAATATTATTATTTCCATGTCTCTTTGACTGTCGCGAGTTTGGTTTCACAACAATGTCCGATGTCATCTCAATATCGACGTCTAACATCGTTACAACATCGGTATTTAAAAATCATCTCAACATCAAAGTCTTACACTATCTTGACATTGATGCTCGACGCTTGCAATTTCTATACCCACAACTTGACAGTTCATCTTTGTTCAACGCTGTCTTAACATCTTTGTCCAACGCCCTCTCAACATCGACGACAGATGCTCTCTTGACATCGACAGCTGATACTTACTGCATAACATCGATGTGCGACTCTTGACAGCATTGTCGTCACCTCTCTCGATGTCTAATATACAACATTGATGCCCTATGCCCATCTCTCGACATCGTAAAATTAATCATTTTAAGCACAAATTCTAGTTAAATGATTTATTATTCCTAAATTATTTTTAATAATACTTATTCAATTTTTATACACTATTTTCAAAATATAAAAAATTATAATACCGTGTCCAACCCGTGTATGTGTCCTATACTTTTAATAATTGACATGTCCCATGTCCGTGTCGTGTCGTATCCATATCACTATGTACGTGCCTATGTATCATCATTTTGAACCATCTAATGTGTCACTCAATCTTTTATTAGAATGACCACAATCTCCTCTGCAAATTTATAAATTGACCCTGATCCATAACATTTGAAAATAACTTTCAAGCGGATAGAGTTTCAATACTCTAACACTCATTTGGAATCTCGAATGTCCATTTGCTGAGATTTCATTAATACAAACTTCCCTTCCAACAACTAACTTCCAATTTCGACAACTGATACAGACATCGAACATCATTCATCAAACAACTCCGATGTTCTCCACAACCATCGATCGATACTAACGTTCGTTGCCATTCATTGACTAGTGCTATAGTTTTAAATGAACTTGATGGGCAATAAGAGCTTTGCTGACATTCTATTCTACTTCCACATTCAATTTAGGTATGGTAAAAAAAACCTAAGCTAACTATTGGACCATATATGGGGTTGATAATTGTTTGATGAAAGTTGAAGGGACTATCAGTATCCCCATTACACTAAAAAAATTTCCTCAACAGGCAACCCATGTGATCCAATTCTAGTGATCAAACCTAAGTCGTCCTACAAAAATATCTTCGTGAGACCTCTAATAAATCTCTTGATGTTGTTACTTCTCTTCTTCACTTAGGGTGAACATTGTAACCCCTATTAGAATCCATGGATTATGAGGAAACAACCAAATAGCATAATCATGCTATCTCAGACAAAACTTGCTATCTTAGACAAAACTTAGTCAGGTTCATCTATCATTCTTAGCATTAATAACTTTGACCTCCATAAAGAAGACAACCTCCAAAGGGCCACTCTTGTTGAGGATTTGATCACCATTCTACTATTAAAAGAGCATCTTTCACAGACAGTACAAATTGAGTCTTTACTCTTTGATAAAAGTAAAAATAAAATAAAAAAAATACTAAGAGTATGCAAATTTCAAATAAAACAATCAAGATATCTTTGCCTAAAGCCAAAAAAAATACATATTATTAACCTTGAAATCATCAAAGTGGATTCAACGTTAACATGCTCATTTATAAAAGTGAAGCTTTGCTTCAAACAACTTAGAAATAACAGAACAAAATGTCAATAAAATTAAAGAGGTCGAGCTCATTTGTAAAGTGC